ATGAGGCCGAGGCCGCGGCCAGGGGTCCGGCCAGGCCGGGGGCTGGATGCCGCCCTCGGTGAGGAGCAAAGAAGTCTTTCTGGGGAGGTTGCGGGGTTCACGTGAGCCCCCGAGGGGAGGGTGGGAGATCCCAGTTAGAAGCGGCTGGGCAGGGAAGGAGAAGGGGCAGGGGATGGGGGGGGGGAGGAAGGGGGGGCGGGGGAAATGGAGATTCCAGGAGACACCCCTGGACAAAGCCCCAGAATGCCCCCCCACTCCCGACTAGACCCAGGTTGAGGCAAGAAGCCTGGGTTGGGGTCAGCCTCTGCCACTGGCTGACCATCTCCTGGCGCCCATCCCTGCACCGCCCTAGGTCTGTTTCCTCGTTTAACACAGTTGCAGAGTAATAAGAGCTAAAGCGTGGAGAGTTGTTTTCATTCATTCAGTAAAGATTCATTGAGCACCCGCTCGGCGCCAGGCTGGGACTGGGGACCCAGCAGTGAGCAGAACCAGCGGAGCCTCGGCTCTGAGGGGCCAGGCCTGGTGCCGCTGAGCGCTTTTCCAGCAGCAGCTCCAATGGCGCCATCGGGTCGAAGTACGCTTTACAGAAGAGGAAACTGAGTCCCCCAGAGGGCACAGGGCTGGCCAAGACCGCAGAGCTGGGCAGTGCTGCTCCAGCTCAGTCTGATCCAAACATTGCTGCCTGCTCCCTGCTGAGGTCTGACTCTGAGTCGCTGGGAGACCCCAGTGAGACAATCCTGGGGGGAGAGCTTTGCAGCTGTCTAGACGCGGCTTGCAGCACCTGGTGGAAACAGATGCACGGTCCCCCTGTACGGAGGTAGAGGGTGCTCGGAGGACACAAGTGCTCATTTTCTTTTTCTTTTTCTCTCTTGCAGTGTCCAGAGCCCCCTTCCCAGCCAGAGGTTGCCAGTGCCGGACAGTGTGCTGCATATGTTCGCAGGCACCGAAGAGGTCCCTGAGGATGACAGTGCAAAGCATGGGGGCCGGGTACGCACCTTCCCCCACGAACGGGGCAACTGGGCCACCCATGTCTACGTCCCGTGTGAGTAATGCGTGAAAGACACGTGGCTGAGACCCATAGGTGCCTCTTGTTGGTTTTTTTTTTTAGATTTTTAAAATATATATATATTTTTAAATTGATTTCAGAGAGGAAGGGAGAGGGAGAGAGAGATAGAAACATCAACAATGCGAGAGAATCATTAATCGGCTGCCTCCTGCACTCCCCCTACTGGGGATCAAGCCCACAACCCGTACATGTGCCCTGACCCGGAATCGAACCATGACAGACAAACACGTCCCTCCCCCATGCCACCCCCGGTTCACAGGTCGACGCTCAACCGCTGAGCCACACCGGCCGGGCTGAAATATCATTAAAATACATAGACACAGGCTGCTGTCATGGTAATTTTCTCCTAAAAGCCAGAGTGACAAGGGCCTTTGCCTTCTGGGCTCCTTCACTCAGCCGGGCCCCCCTGGCTAAGAGGACGGCCCACCCTCTGCACTGTGCCCTCCAGATGAAGCCAGGGAGGAGTTCCCGGACCTGCTTGATGCGTTGCTGCCCCACGCCCAGACCTGCGTGCCCCGGCTGGTGAGGATGGAGGCCTTCCACCTCAGCCTGTCCCAGAGCGTGGTCCTGCGGCACCACTGGATCCTCCCCTTCGTGCAGGCCCTGAAAGAGCGCCTGGCCTCCCGCCAGAGGTGAGTGCCCAGCGCCCCCCTGCCTCTCCCCTCCCTCCCCTCCCAGGCTCCTCTTCCTGTCCTGAACCTCCTGGGGCATGGAGGTGTGGGGTGTGTCACCCCAGCCAGCAGGCCAAACGTCTGCACCTCATCCTGTGTGAGCTCGGCCCCCAACGTAAGCTCTGGAGCCTTCGTGTCCTTGTCTGTGTGCAGGTCATGGGCGTGGTGGTGGCTGCTCAGAGGGGACTTGGGAGAGTGACATGAGATCTGGGGTGCCCTTATCATGGCACCCGGCGAAGCATCGGAACTGGACCCCACTTCTCGTCGTATCTGCCGTTCTAGGACTTTTTAAAAAACGTAACTGTTTCATACATCGGCCTGCCAGGAATGCCTTTTCTCCTAGACTTGGCCAGATCGCAGTCCTGCTCCTTCACTGCTCTCCCGGTTGGCGTTTCCCCCAGAATCCCTCAGGGGGCAATCCCAAGGACCACCCATCCCATGGCTGTTTACACCCTAGAGCTCATTTCACTCCTCATACCCAGGCCTTCCCATGTCCCTTCGGAGCCCAAGTTCCTCTAAGCCAGTGGTTCTCAACCTCCCTAATGCCGTGACCCTTTAATACAGTTCCTCATGTTGTGATGACCCCCAACCATAAAATTATTTTCGTTGCTACTTCATAACTGTAATTTTGCTACTGTTATGAATCGTAATGTAAATATCTGATATGCAGGATGTATTTTCAGGGGTCGCGACCCACAGGTTGAGAACCACTACAAGCCCAGGAGTGCGGCTTCTCTCGGAACTCCCCCCTCCCTTTAATACAGTTCCTCATGTTGTGATGACCCCCAACCATAAAATTATTTTCGTTGCTACTTCATAACTGTAATTTTGCTACTGTTATGAATCGTAATGTAAATATCTGATATGCAGGATGTATTTTCAGGGGTCGTGACCCACAGGTTGAGAACCACTACAAGCCCAGGAGTGCGGCTTCTCTCAGAACTCCCCCGTTTCCAGGCGCTCTGCTCACTGTAGGCATCCCCTGGACATATAGTGAGTGAGTGAGTGCGCAGGCCAGAGATAGCCCCGAGATCATCCCTGGGTCCTCTGGTGTTGGTTCTAGAAGAAGCAGACGGTCCCTGTGTAACTGATCTGAGTGGTGGGAGCGAGTTTCTGCCCCAATTTTATACCCAAACCACTAGGCATCCGAGAGGAGAGCAAGGACTTTGGAATCAGGCACACTGAGGCTCAAAGTGTGGCTCACCACATCCAACCCCCTCAGTTTTCTCGTCTGTGAAATGGGCATCATTATAGTGCCTGGCACACAGGGACTGTTCTGGTCATTGCTTAGGTGAGATCAGAATTGTCTTTTTTTAAATATACAAGGAACACATGATCCCTTCTGTGATCTATTACCACCTACTTGACGAGTAAGACTCTCTTGGTTCCCGTCGGGAAGTTGAGATGGTCTCAAACCATTTAATGGAATGACTGGCTATTCCTAAAGTAGAAATTTTGCTGGCACCTGGATGGAACTAGATGTCACTTGAACTGGGTGATTATTTAAGGTCTTGTCCAGCTCTAATATGTTAGGGTTCAATTCACCGCCTGTATGATAGGGGGACAATACTAGTGCGCCATGAGTTCACTATATTTTCAAAGTGCTATTTTTTTTTTTTTACCATAAACTACTTTTTTCTGATTCTTTTTCCTCATTCTTCCTGAAATGTGGTCTTTTCTTCTAAATTTCAGATTCTGCTTTACAGCCGACCGGGTAAAGATTTATACCAATGAAGAGAAAACCAGGTGGGTCTTCCCCACTAGGCCCCATCATTTCCAGAAGATTCTCTAGAATAAAGATTGGGGGGGGGGGTGTGCTTGGTTTCTGGCCTTGTCTGTCGCAGTTTTCCATTTGCTTGTGTTTTAACCGACTCTATGACTACAAAGGCGATTGTTCCCAAATCTGAGCCTTTCTTTCATTAAGAGAAATAACAGAGGGTTGTAGGAGGAGGGGCAGAGGTAAACATCTTGGTGTACTGCAAAAAGCCTACGGCCAGAAGAAAACCTGAGTTCCTGCCCAGCTCTGCCCCCAATTTAACACTTAGCTCACATCTCCAGCTCTGTGACCTTCTGTTTCCACGTCACACGCCTGTCCTTGATCCGTTCATCACTGGACACTTGTGAGGCTCAGATGAGCCAAACGAGTTTTTGATGGCCCTGGCCGGTGTGCTCAGTGGTTAGAGCATCGGCCCGTGCACCGGAGGGTCTTGGGTTTGATTCCCGGTCAAGGGCATGTACCTTGGTTGTGGGTCCGATCCCCGCCCCCAGGCCAGTTGGGGTGCATGTGGGAGGCAACCAATTGATGTGTCTCTCCCACTCTCTCTAAAATTGAGTGGGGGAAATATCCTCGGGTGAGGATTAAAAAATAAAAGAGGACGTGTCTGAGTGCTGAGGGGAGGGTAGCCGGTGCCACGGAGCCAAGTCCTCGAGAAAGGGGCAGACTCCGAAGTGACGATGGAGAGATGAGTACAGGGGCTTCGGGGTCTGCAGACTTGGCAGTGGCCGGCGAAAGCACTCCTGTCAGTGTTATCAGACCCTGGGGAGGAAGGGAGGCGTGTGGTTAGCCCGGGGGCAGGAAGGTTTCCAGCCGGAGGAGGGAGGATGAACAGGAGACGGTGAGCGAGCACTCATGGTCCAGCCTGCTCGGCCATCCATCTATCACGGCCTCCACCCCGTCACAGATGCTCCCGTTCTCAGTGGCTGCATCTCATGCCCCTGTGGTCTCCACTTGTGTCTCCCCCCAGGACCTTTGTTGGGCTGGAGGTCACCTCTGGCCACGCCCAGTTCCTGGACCTGGTTTCAGAGGTGGACAGAGTCATGGAGGAGTTTGACCTCACCACTTTCTACAAGGTAGCCCACGGGGTCTTTTCCTCTCCGGCGGCCCCTTCTTCTACTCGAGTAAAACCCGCCCCGGTTAGAGGCAAACTGAAGAGCCCTCCAGAACTTTCCGTCAGGTGTCCCCAGCACCAGCCTTCAGAGGACACGCCCCCCTGGAAGCTGAAGGGTCTGCGATGTGGTCAGGTGCAGCCCATCCGAAGGCCAACATTCCTTAGAATTCTTTTTTTATGCATCTTAAATATGCACAAGAGTTATGCCTTCTACTCCATAGTTTTTTATGTTTATTTTTATATTTTTGTAAGAAGCAGTTTTCCTCAGTTTTGACACCCCAAAGGGTACAGCTTCATATACCTTCCTGCACCCCATGGTCTCCAGGGGTTCTCAAACTCCAAGCTAACTATCAGGGCTTTAAAGGGCCGCTGGTTTTGCTTAATATCTTCTTTTCAAATCATGCTGAAATAGGCAAGTGTGAACCTGAGTGGAGACAATGGTTGTTTCTTCATCGTTTTGGACACTTTGATTTTTGTTCATCTCACCTTAAAAAGTGTGTCATCTGTCGAAACGTTTTAGATCAGGACACAGGCTCAGAGCCTGGGTTCTCTCTTGCGTCCCAGATTCAATGACTCGCCCCATAAGCAAAGGAAAGTCTCTGCGAATAGGACTGTCTCCGCTCGGGCTGCCACGACAAAATACCGTGCGCTGGGCGACTTAAACACCGACATTTATTTCCTCCCAGCTGAGGGGCCTAGACGTCCAAGATCAAGGTGTCCGCGTGGTCAGTGTTGGTGAGGCCTCTCTTCCTTGTTTGTAGACAGTCATCTTCTCACTGTGTCCTCACATGGTGGAGAGAGAGGGGAAGCAAGCTCTCAGGTGTCTCTTCTTGTAGGGCGCGTATCCCATCATGAGGGCCCCACCCTCATGGCTAATTATCTCCCAACGACCCCACCTCCAAGTACCATCCTATTGGAGGGTAGGGCTTCAGCATAGGAACCCGGGGGAACACAGTTCGGTCCAGGGCTATGTTGTTTACCTGTAGAGGGTTCTTGGGACCAACTCGGATCAGCACTGAGGGTCTCTCCTGTGGAGCAGTCGGAGATGCCATGTCAGGGATCTGCTGTGATACCCGGGCCGGCCTTGGCACCTGGTGACCGCCCGCCTCCCTGCCCTTCCCCCGCAGGACCCTTCCTTCCACATCAGCCTGGCCTGGTGCGTGGGTGATGCTCGTCTCCAGCTGGAAGGCCAGTGCCTGAGGGAGCTGCAGGTGAGTTCTCAGAGCAGGAGCCCCGGGGGTGCTGAACTCCAGAGTGAGGGGTGTCGGGAAGTGGGAGGTGCTGATTGGCCCTGGGGGTGAGGTGCGCAGCCCTGAATCCTGGGAAATCGCTGGTGTGGCAGGAGACCCGCCGCCTGAGCTTGCTCCTGAAACTGCAGCCCTGGCCCAGCAGCAGCAGCAGCAGCAGCGTCACCCCGGAGCTTGTTAGCACTGCAGACTCTGAGGCCCCAGCCCAGACCTGAGCATCAGACCCGAGTTTTTTTTTTTTTTTTTTTTTTTAGAGGAAGGGAGAGAGATAGAGAGTTAGAAACATCGATGAGAGAGAAACATCGACCAGCTGCCTCCTGCACATCTCCCACTGGGGATGTGCCCGCAACCCAGGTACATGCCCTTGACCGGAATCGAACCCGGGACCTTTCAGTCCGCAGGCCGACGCTCTATCCACTGAGCCAAACCGGTTTTGGCCAGACCCGAGTTTTAACAAGCTCCCTCGGGACCTGTGCGCGGCCCCAGAACACGAATCCAAGAGGCGCTGCGGGCCTTCCCTGAAGTTCTAGCCCCTTGCCCGGAGGTCAGAGGCCGGGATGTCCACAGGGGCCCGGCAGGTGTTGGAAATGAGTGAAACGTGCCGGGTGTAAGGAACATCCACCTTCGTGGCCTTTCTCGTATTGTGATGAGGAGGTGAAACAGTTCCCTCTCCCGTCGGTCCGTCCGTCGAGCTGCCGACTCGCCTCCTCAGGTCAGGGAGGCGGTGGGAGTGTTGCCGTGCAGCAATGTGGCCTCGTGCTGCTACCACTCCCGTTTTTCCAGAGACGCCAGAAACCCAGATTTTTATGGATCATCTCCCTAGTTCCTAATGTTGGCAACCAATTTGTATGTTTTTCAAAAACATTTTGCAAGCCCAACAAAACCTGCGTGATAGGTGCAGCCATGGGCCTGCATCAAGCAGCCGCCCCTGCTCTTGGCCCGATCGTGCTGGATGGAGGTGGCAAAGAGCTTGCTGGGGGCTCCAGCAGACCCCGGTGCCCATCCTGGTTTTATTGGATTCTGTACTGCAGGGCTCTGGGCAGCCACTCCCTCCTCTGCAAAGTTGGGATGGTAGGGTCGACCTCACAAGATTGTGGAGCTGATAGGGCCTGGGGTCTGTGTGGCCTGGGGTCTCCCTTCACCACCACCTGTGAAGGACCTCAGAAAGCTGTTTGTTTGCAGCACCCTCCGGTCCTGAGTCCCCTAAAGTGACTGTCCCCTCCTGGCTCCCGGCTGTAGGAAATTGTGGACGAGTTCGAGGACTCGGAGATGCTGCTGCGCGTGCACGCCGAGCAGGTCCGCTGCAAGTCCGGGAACAAGTTCTTCTCGATGCCTTTGAAGTGAGCGCCAGAGGCCCTCCTCGTCCCAGGTCCCACCGCAGGCCAGGCAGAGGTGGAGGAGGCTGCGCAAACCGGCCTGGGAGGCCTGGTGGTCCCCGGGCCTGGTCCTCTCCCGGCCCTTTTGGGTTGCAGGTCCAGTGCTGCTGTGTTGTGGTCGTTCCCAAAAACCACCAGTAGAGGGCAGACCGGGCTCCCTAGTTCTAGATCTGTGGTTCTTATGCAAAAATATAGATAAAAATGGGGTCACCCCGTGAGCCCACCCATACTCGGCCAGAATCCCCACTGTAGTCCCGCCAACAAATGGCCCCTCCCCACCCCCCACTCCACACACACACACACCCCACGGCTCCCTCAGCTGTTTGCACTGCGATGCCCTTGGCTTCAGACCAGCCTTTTCAAAACCATGTGTCCTGGCTCAACCCTGCTCAAGCCAGGACGTAGGGTCCTTCAAGGGGTCTGTCACTCTCCCTCGCTGAAGCCTGTCCCTTTATGGCTAGTCCCAGCCCCTCCTACGCCAGCGAAGGCCATGTCGGGGCCAAGGCACAGGGTGCTAATTTGAGGTTCAGCATCAGTTTTCTCCATTCCTTCCTCCCACTCGCCCCAGCCAGGTGCCTGGGGAGGCTCCAGCAGATGTTTCATTTTGGCCTCGCTGGCGGCTTCCAGCCAGGCCTCCAACGCTCTGCTGTGACCTCTGGTTTCCCAGCAGCTTTTCCCAAAGAGGCCGAGGCGCCTCCCCCATCCAGGGCTCGCTCTCTGGCCTCCAGCGACCTGCGGGCCCGCTACGGGGACACGGACAACGGGCCAGGGGCTGCACAGGGGTTTTATTCTCCCAGCCCTCACGAGAGCAAAGGACCGGTCCTCGGGTGGCCATCTGGATTTCCAGTGATGGATAAGGAGATATTTTCATGTTACAGTTTTAAATTATGTTTAACAAATAAAAATTACAGTTTGTATTTTGGGTTGCTTCTATCTAACTATGTGAAAAGATGATTCTTCTCCACCCACCCCCCACCCTCCTCACCTTCTTCAGGTGCTTCACAGTTTGGGGGGACCCTGGAAGTCCGTTACGACTTCTAATGTGGCCACGAGAGACGTTAATGTTGGGGTGGGGTCGCCCACCTGCCAGGCCCGCACACCAGCGAGGTCACACATGCCACACCGAGCCCAGGACTGGGCATGAGGCTGGAGGTCACCACCCCCATTCGTCATCGGTGTAAGAATAGACATTTAGATACTAAAACGATCGCAAAGCCCTTTCTGGGACCTTCTCGTCCGTTCCTCCCAATAAGCCCCCTGAAAGATGAACTGGGAGGAATGATTATTCCATTATATAGAAGAGCAGGTTCAATGACCAGCCCGAGGTCACGGGAGAAATCAGAGGCAGGCCCCGCCTCCACCCTCGCCTCCATCCGGCCCTGGTCAGGCCCGAGGGAAGGTGGGGAATGGGGGCCAGGCCTCCTGCACCTGTGCGTCCCAGTCGCTGCGCCGAAGGTCCCTGAAGTCATGTTCTGTGCCTGGTTCCCCGGCCCCACCACACTGATCTGCTGAGTCAACTCTGACTGGTCAGTCCGTTCTGGCTTTTGAGCTCACGCTAGAGATGGAGAAGCAGCAGCCAAGCGCCTCTCCTGGCACGGAAGGAACACGGCAATCCGGCTGTGCTATGCAGTCAGCAGTTACTGATGCCTGCTCTGTGCCAGGCCCTGACCTGGGCAGCTGGGTGAATCAGGCTCATCCGGGCCTCTGGATGCTCACAATGGGGGGCAGGGGATGCACAGGCAGGGTGCACCGAGCAGAAGCCCCCTCCCCAACTCTGTACGGCTCAGCCACCCCATTTCCTGCAGGTTGCCGGTTCAGGATGGAAGCCGGCCTCCCACAGGCAGGTTCCATGGGCACAGACCACCTGACTTTCCGCATCAGGGACTCTGTCGGGGGTGCCTGCTCTTCCTGGGAGGGGCTGGGTGTGATTAGCACCTCCATCCACAAACTGGGGGGACTGGCCCTGGTGTGTGTTGTGGGGGGGGGGGCGGTGCTAGAGCATGGGGTATGGATGGAATGAGCGTGGGGCAACTTTGAGAAACGGGCCAAGATCAATAACCGGCTCGTCAATGGAGAATGGAAGGTGGTGATAGAGGAAGGAAGTAGGAGATTCACTGGGGGAGGGGCGGAGGCCGGGCCGGGCGGCAGGGGCTTGGCAGACGCCCAGACCTGGAGTGCGCGCTGACAGGGCAGAAGCCGCTGGGGCGCTTCCTTAAGAGGCGATGTGTCTGATGCTCCGATGCTCCGGAGGCTCGGGCAGGACCAGAGCGGCTGGTCCGCCCCAGGCAGGCTGCCCGCCCCAGGCCAGGCTGCCCGCCCCAGGCCAGGCTGGCGTGGAGTGAAGACAAGCTGGAGATGGGGATGTTATCACCCCAGGGAGGGTGCTAAATCAACACATCTGGCCTCGGTGTCCTCAGATGTTCCCCGCGGGGCAGGGAGAGGATCCTCCCTCGCCTGGTTGGCCCGCTTCCACCTGGCACTCTGGGCTCTCCACACCGCTCCGCAGAGCAGACCACCCGAGCTCTGCTTCCCAGGGCGAGGGAAATTACCTCGCCTTGTTTGTTTATTCTTTGTCTTGTGGTACCCGGAGCCTGAGAGGCCTGTGGGGGGTGCAGGGTGGGGCAGCCAGGGGTGGGGGTGGGGGCCCTGGGCCTGGTTCCCATCCACAGTGCCTTTGCTTTACCAAACAAGGGGCCTTGGCCACTCCCTGAACCAGAACCTTCCCTTTACAAATGAGGAGACAACCCCACCGAGGGGCAGCGACTTGCTCGCGACTGAACCCGATGGAGCCGTAAATCAGTGCGGGGCAGGAACCCCGAGAACCCGGTGTCTAATCCAGAGCTGTTCGGGCACCCCCTCATACCACCAGGGTCTCAGAAGGAGAGTGTGCTGTGAAATGCCGTGTCTGGGCTTTAATTCAGAAGACTCCACGGGAAAGGGATGGGGGAGGCTAAGGTCTAGATCAGTGGTTCTCAACCTTCCTAATGCCGCGACCCTTTAATACAATCCCTCATGTTGTGGTGACCCCCAATTTCATTGTTACAAATTGAACATCATGAAAGCATAGGGATTAATCACAAAAACAATATGTAATTATATATGTGTTTTCCGATAGTCTTAGGCGACCCCTGTGAAAGGGTCGTTCGACCCCCAAAGGGGTCACGACCCACAGGTTGAGAACCGCTGGTCTAGATGAACCGATACGGTAAAATGTGGATAATGCTTAGAGCTGGCTGACTGAAGGGCTGGGGTTCACACCTCACGGTCCCTCTGGTCCCCTCAGGCCTTAGGTGCTGGCCAGACCCCGGAGAGCCACAGAGCCCTGTGATGGATGGATGGACAAACTCACCTTGAGCCCCAAGCTACCTGTAGGAGCCAGAACCCATCACTGGGAACTTCAAGGTGTGGTCCCAGGGATGCCAGCGCCTTCAGATAGGACTTATACTAGAGGAAGCTCCCACCAAGAGAGAAACAATGACCAAACTGGTTTACCATAGGCCCCTAAGCGCATGGCTCCTAGGCACCTCTCTTTACTAGGTAGCACCCTAAATTCAAACTTAAAAAGAAAATAATTTGGCTGCTTGGGAATACATAGTGTGAAAGATGGCAAGGCGTGCAGTTAAACTGGGACGACCCTGTTGTTCATGTCTGACGTCTACTGTACATTTCCCAAAAGGAAATTTCAGAGCAAAAAAAATTTAGAAATCCATTTCCCAAAGGAGGGAACCCCACAGAGAAGTTTGTCCGTGGAAAGGGGTGGAATTGCCCCACCTTTTCTCCAAACCCCGACTTCCTTTCCCCAAGCAACCTCTGTCAAACACCAGGTAACGTCCACCCATTGCTGGTGCTGACAACGATTCTGCCTTTGACCAAACTTCGGCCTGGCCCCCCTGAGCCCTCCACCCCACAAGGCCCAGGCATGTACTTCCTTCTAGAATCCAGTTTCATCTAGAATCCTGCTGATCAGATTAGCAAGAAACTCCCACCCTTGGTTACCTGATCCAACTCCCCATCCCCACTGCCCCCACCCCCCACACGTGATCTGATCACCCTGATGGCCTGCCTTCAGCCAGAATCCCTCTGGGCCTGACCGCATCTCCTCTGGGTGAGTTCCCATTCATCAATGCCCCCCCCACACACACACACCCAATTTGCTCCTAGTTGAGAAATCCCCACTTGTTCTGGTTGTATTTGGAATTGAACCCCATTCTACACTGGAATCTCTCCCTTTTGCAATGGTTTCTCTCTCTCTCTCTCTCTCTCTCTCTCTCTCTCTCTCTCTCTCTCTCTCCTGCAGTAGTTTTTTGAGTAAAATCCATCTTTACCACTTTAACTTCTGTCAACTCTGGTTCTCTTTAACAGTTCTTAGTGCCGTTACTCGGATCTGGGTCATAACCACCATCAGACAGTGCGACCTAGACCTTTGCCTCCATCCAGAATGCTTGCCCCTCCCCCCCATGATTTCCCAGAGTCATTCAAAGACAGAAGGACTTGAGGGACTGACTCTGCCCAATAAGCCAAGGTTTGTTAGACAAAACACGTCTGGTCCCCACTCCTAGTCTATGCAATACTCCCCGTTTGGCTGTCAAAAAACCAAATAGGCAAGGGCATGCGTTCGTCCGAGATCTGCGATCTATCAGTGAAGTCGTCAAACCCAGATTTGCCTCGGCGCCTAATCCCAACACTATCCTGTCGGATGTCCCTTCCAACACCCAGCGTTTCACAGTCCTTATTCGTGTTCCGTCTGGTTTAGGACCCCCTTTGTACGGCATCCCAATACTTGTTTGCCTTCACCTGGGATAACCAACAATATACTAGGACTGTTATGCCCCAAGGATTGACTGAGGCTCCTCCTCCTTCCTTCTTGCGCACCCTAATTGCCAATTGGAAGGACTTGAAGTTCCCAGGAGACTCCACTGTAAGCCAATATGCAGATGACCTCCTTCTCTGTTCTGACAGTCGTGACAAGTCCTCCGGACACGGAACACCTTCCTAAGCCAGTGGTGAGAAAGGGCCACAAGGTGGCTAGATACAATCTCCAACTGTTCTCTCTGTATCTGGGTCATGATATTTCAGCTGCAGGTAACCTGTCTCCACAGACAGAGCCTCTACAATTCAACATTTTCTTCTCCCAGAAAATGACAACAGAGAAGTGTTTTAGGTCTTGTGGCGTCTGATGTGGATGCCTCATTTCTCCATGATTGACTCACTCATTTATACAATGACTAGGGAAGCATCCCCAGACCCAGGAGACGAAGGGAGAGGGACAGAAAGATAGAAACATCAATGATGAGAGAGAATCATCCATCAGCTGCCTCCTGCAGGCTCCACACTGGGGATCGAGCCCGCAACCTGAGCATGTGCCCCGACCGGGAATCGAACTGTGACCTCCAGGTTCATAGGTCGATGCTCAACCTCTGAGCCACGCCGGCCGGGCAAGGGCTCTCCTCTTTCACCTCCCATCCTTGGACTTCTCAGTTACTCCCTGCCTTTGGCTTGTGCATGAAGCAGAGGGTCATGCCCTTGGAATGTTATCCCTGAAACATAATGGACACCAAAGACACCTGGGATATTATAGTTTGGCCTTTGACCCAGAGGCCAAGGCATATCCCTCAGCGAGCCATGGCTGCAACCACCACACTTGTCTAAGCTACCTCTGATGTACTATTAGGTCACCCGCTTGGCATACACATTCCGTAGGCTATGCAGACCCCGTCGCTTAATAAAATATACAGCACTTTTCTGCATCTCAACTTACCTCCTATGAAATCTGACTCCTTTCTCCCTCTCCCATCACCATACATCACTGTCACTGTCTTAGCCCTGCCTCCTTTGCCCACAGGTGGGACGCCCCACAACTGTATTATTCACACCAGATCATTATTCTGTCCTAGGCTAGCTTTACCAGAAAACCCCCTCTCCCAAGTTGACCTTCCTCTTCCCGTCCATGACTCTCACCTCCCGAAGGAGGCTGGATATGCCGTTACAGTCCAACATGAAGTTCTAGAATACCGAACCCTGCCCAATGCCAAATCAGCCCACGTCACTGAATTCATGGCTCTTCCTCGGCTTGCACAGGAGCAGAGGGAAGGTTAACATTCACGCTGATATTCGCTGTGCCTTTGGGTTGGTACCTGGTTTGGGTATGTTATAGAAACACGGAGGATTCTTGACAGCAGCTGGTACCCCAGTAACAAATGGACCCCAAACAGCAGAATTTCTAGAGGCATTATTATTGCCCCAGCAGATCACTACAGTTAAAACTGAGGGACAGCCCTGGCCAGTGTGGCTAAGTTGGTTGGGCACTGTCCCATGCACCAAAAGGTTGCCAGTTTGATTCCCAGTCAGGGCACATGCCAGGTTTCAGGCTCAATCTCGTGCAGAAGGCAGCCAATAGATGTTTTGCTCTCACGTCTATGTTGTGTGTGTTTTTTTCCTCTCTCCCTCTCCTTTCCTCTCTCTCTAAAAATCAATTTAAAACCTTTAAAATAAAAAGAAACCTGAGGGACATAACACAAAAAATTCAGATGAGGCCTGAGAAAATAGATAGGCTAATAAATATGCTAAATTAGCAGCCTCGTCCCCCACCACCCAAGAAATCTAAGTGGTTCCCAAGCCTGGGATCATGTCCCATGCATGATTCACGTCCCTAGCAAGACAGAGCAGGACGGCACGAGATTTTTATCACGCTACTCAGAATGGTGGCAACTTAAAATATACGCCTTGTTTTTTTAATCCTCACCCCAGGATATTTTTTCCATAGATTTCTAGTGAGCGTGGAAGGGAGGGAGGAGGGGGAGAGAGAGAGAGGGAAACATCAACGTGAGAAAGACACATCGATTGGCTGTCTGGGGCTGGGGAACCTGCATCCGAGCCCTTGACCCTCGGTCCACAGGCCAACATTCTAACCACTGAGCCAAACTGGCCAGGGCACATATGCATTGTTTCTTCCTGGAATTTTCCACTTAATATTTTCAGACCACGACTGACCGCAGGTACCTGAAACCATGGAAAGTGAAATCACAGATAAGGGGGGGGGGGGGACAACCACATTCATTGCTTAGGCAGTTGACCTTGCAATCTACCTTGTCCCTGGTTAACCACTGGCCTTGACCTGGTGACTCCCCAACTATGAGAAACCGAGCTCCATGTTCTCCATCATGGCATCGCCCTTCACAGGACCCTGGCTGCAGAAGGGGGCACTTGCACAGTGATCGGAAGCGACGGCCGCACCTCTGTCCCCTGCAACCCACCTGACATCTTTGCCGTAACGGAGAAATGCACGCATCACCGCGGAGGAAGGGCAACAGGTCACGGACTTCTTCCAGTCTGTCCGTGAAGGTCTACGAGGCTGGGGCACACAAGCCGGTTCAGCCTTTAATCTTCGTCTTTCCGTTTATCTTCAAAGTATCCCTCCCATTACATGGCCTGTGGGTCGTATAGTACAGCAATCATCCACTGTCACCAAGTCTCAACAGATGGTCCAGCTGGTTCTAAGGTAACAAAGGCAACCAAGTGAGACATGGACTTACGTTGTTCAGAGCAAAAAAAGAACGGTTCTTCCCTTGAACAAGAGGGGGACTGCAAGGATTCTTTGCTTGATCAGCCTTTAGTGGTGCCCCTAAGCCCTCTCCCCAGCAGCGTCCATGCCTGTACTCTCTGTAGGATCCAGTTCTAGCAAGAAACCTGCTAAGTCAGTTTAATGAGAAATCCTCACCCTTCATATCTGGTCAACCTCTAGAACCCCACTGCCCCCGGGTGATATCTGATCGCCTCGGCCTTCAGCCAGAATCCCCCCCAGGCTTGATGTCTCCTCTTAGTCATTTGCCATCCACCAATGCCCTACCCTTTGCTCCTCAGCTGTAAATCCCCACTTGTTACTGGTTGTGTTGGGAATCAGGCCCAGTTCTATACTGAGTCTCTCTTCCTCTATTGCAATAGTTTTTTGTTTTCGTTTTAATTTTTTTTTTATTGATTTCAGAGAGAAGAGGGAGAGAGAGAGAGATAGAAACATCAATGATGAGAGAGAATCATTGATCGGTTGCCTCCTGCACACCCCACACTAGGTATCCAGCCTGCAACCCAGGCATGTGCCCTGATGGGGAATTGAACCATGACCTCCTGGTTCATAGGTTGATGCTCAACCACTGAGCCACGATGGCCGGGCTTGTTTTGCTTTTTAAAATCTATCTTTGCCGCTTTAACTTCAGTCTGTTCTCTTTAATGGTGCTCTTTTTTCCCACCTGGCAGGTCGGTGAACAAGCCAATTTATCAAACTCTGCCAGATCTCTGCCCATTTCCGGGAGGTGAGGCTTGGGGGTGGTGGGGGAGAGTTCAAGAGAAAGCTCCTGTGGTGAGGAAAGCTCCCATTTCCGGGCTGGGAGGTGGCAGAGGGGAGGGAAGGTCTCAGCCCTCCTGCCCTGCGGGGCGCCTTCACATCCAACCCCTGACACCGATGTGTTGGGCCAGGGCTGTCCTCCCTGCTTCAGACTCTAGACTAGGGACCCCCCACCCTCAAGGCTTTTGATTTTTGAGTCCACATGGAGGGGAGGGTTAAATCTCCGCACTGCAAGCTCCACTCGCGGTGGGAAGATTTGCCCCCCAGCCCAGCACCTTGTCAGGCCCAACGGTCACATTTCACTTGCACAACATAATGTCCTCCTCTTGGGAACCTGAGGTGTGCCAGGCCCGGGACCAGAAGCACACCTAACCCTCGGCCCACGTCCCAGGTAAGGACTTGGAGGCTCAGGAAAGGGAAGCCACGTGCCCACGTGCCCCAGGTCAGAGGGAACGCAGGTCGCTACCTGCCCCTCCTAAACGCGTGCGTGGTCTCCCTGCAGCACACGCAACATACCCAACCCCTCCCTTTGCAATTAAGAAAAGTCACTGGGAGAGGCAAAGACTTGAAGGGCTTTTGAGAAAACAACAAATCCCTAGATTTTGTTTATCTTTTGTTGTTGTTGCTGCTGCTTCAGCCTAAAACAGGATACCGGGTCCTTCCTCACAGCCCTCCTTCCTGCCCACCGTAGCCTCAGTAGCCCCACCCACCCCCCGGGTGGGAGCAGTGGGAGTCTTCGTTTCTCCTTACCCGCTCGGCGGGGGGTCACTTTAGGGATCCACCCCACTCTCCAAAAGCAGGGATCGGAGTGAAGGAGGTGGGCTGGGGAGGATTCCCGCCGCCTGGAAGGAGTGAAAGGGCCGCCTGTCCGGCCCCACCGCCGGCACCTGCTACCCAGAAGCTTCCGCCGAAGACACCGCCCCCTTC